CTCTTTCGGTCTTATCTCTCCTAATCTATTTTCTGAATTAATCACTTCCTTCATAACCTCACAAATGTTAATGCTTAAAACTCTCGATTGGAAAAAAAATAAACTTTAATTATATTATATTGCAAATGAATACATATGTTCAATTTCAAAGTTTAAATCAATCGTGAATATACCCCTTCTGAAAAGGACCGTTTTTTAAAAAAAATTCACAAAAAAAAAATTGATTAAAAAATCATATAAAAACAGTAGGGAATACAAAATATTCTCAACTAAACTTTGATAGTATTTTTTTTGTAAAAGTAAGTATATATATATATATATATATCATAGGGTTTATCGTGTAAGTTGGAAATAAAATTATCCCTTCTATACTATGAAGCACCGACACTTCAAAGATCTTGGTGTGTCGTATCCGATACTTTCCGACACTCTCCGACACTCCAACACACATTGTAGAAACTCAAAAAATAGTTCAAAGGTTGCATTGCGTTGCGTTTTTAGCTCCAACTAATAGATTCGTTAGATTACGATTATAATTTTATTGAGTTTAATATAAATATTTGGGATATCTTATGTTTCTTTGCAAAATTGATAGGTATTATGAATTTAACTTCATTTTTTTGTTAAATTATTGAATATTAAATATAATATACACTACATAAATAAAAAATATTATTTAATATCACAACATGTCCTAACGTGTCGAAATCTAACAGTTTTTAAAATTAACGTGTCGAAGTGTCGTATCGTGTCATATCACGTGTCTCGTGTTGGTATCGGTGCTACATAGCTTGTATATACAATAAAATTAATAGGGCGATGCAACAATCAGTGTTTTAAAACTCGGCTGGTCATTGACTCGGACGATATATTGGTCAATGTTCAATTAGTAAGTCACCAGTTCAACCGCACAAATTAAATTTATAAGATAAATATTAAATTATGAACATTATATCCAACAAATAAAAGTTATCAAATGGTAAGTCATTCAATCGTCAAATATGGAAACTTAAATTTGATTCTCGTTGCTTGCAAAATGTATATAATTTACACAATTTAATATAAAACCGATTTGACTAAAAAATGGGTACAGTTCAACATCGGTTGAACCTGATTTTGGTCTGTTTCGTCAGTTTAATACTGGTTCGAATATATGACTCATCCCATGGCCGACTTGAATCGGTGAAGTACCGGGTTAACGAAACCCGAATCGACCGGATCGGTTTAATCCGGGCTTTAAAATATTGTTTGCAACAATTAATTTTATCTCCAATTTATGGAGAAACATTAAATCTTTTATCATAATTTGAATGTCTATATTGTAAAAAAGTTTAATATTGTTATAGGAGATAATCTTGTATTGTGTGGCCAAAAGATATCGTTTTGGAGTTTGAAAAAAATATTATGATAAAACTTAATATAATCTTAAAATAAATAAAAATTATAAAAATATATTTTCTTTTCAATTTTAAACAATGTTGTTTTGAAGTTAGATTAAATAACATTTTTTCATGAGACCCATTGTAAAATTCACTATTTTATGAGCTATACATATTTTTTAGAATTACTCGGACAACAGAGTTATATAAAAATGAAAAAGTAAAAAAAAAAAAAAAAAGTGTAGACAAGTTTAAATTTATTCCATTATTCCTTCAATCCTGCCATCTCGTTTTGATTATTTTTACTTTTTTAGTTTATCACAATTCCTCCACAAGAAGAGACGAGGTCAGGTGACCAACAGAACGAAAATTTTAAAAGAACTCTGACAAAGTATAATGGATTATTCCACAAAAAATAATTTCGAACTTCCCCCCTTCATACAAAACCCGGAACAAAATAATTTTATATTCTAACCCAAGGAAGCACGGACACTTGTAAAAACAGGAAGAGTCGGGTCCGACACGCTCCGACACGGTGTCGGACACGCAGTTGACTTTTTCTGACACGTTGACCATTCCGACACGCGAATTTGACCGTGTCCGACACGGTCAAATGGCATTTTCGTAATTTTTTTTTAATTTTTTTTTAAAAGTTAAAATATATTAATAAAGCTTTCACCTGATCATATCAATTTTATCTTTTTGTCTTTTTCTCCTTAAGTAGATAAGAGATCATCTCAGCATCATTGTCAAATGGCATTTTCGTAATTTTTTTTTAAAAGTTAAAATATATTAATAAAGCTTCCACCTGATCATATCAATTTTATCTTTTTGTCTTTTTCTCCTTAAGTAGATAAGAGATCATCTCAGCATCATTGTTGTCAATTCATATCACGCTCTTGTTGTATCTTCTTCTCTCTGATCTCTCTAATATGATTTGATCTCTCTATCTGATATTATATCTCTCTCTCACCTCAATTCTTATTTTTTCTATTAAAGCTTCCATCTTTATAACGTGTTGATGGGTATTATTAATTTAGTTTCATTTTTTTTGTTAAGTTATTAAATATTAAATGAAATATACACTATATAAATTAAAAATATTATTTAATATTAAAACGTGTCCCAACGTGTCGAAATCCATAATTTTTTAGGATTGAAGTGTCGGAGTGTCGTGTCACGTGTCACGTGTCGCGTGTCGTATCGGTGCTACATAGTTTTAACCTGTGCTCACAAATATTGTGGCAGTGTTTTTAAGGGTTTTATATTTGTTATGTTACATGGGTAACATAATTTTTTTAGGGAGTAGATTCTCTCATGTGAAAAAATTGTTATGTGGTCATGTTATTTGATCACAATCACTTATTTAAAAATTATACACTTTTCTCTATCATATCTCATCATCAATAAGTGATTATGATCAAATAACATGATCACATGACAACTTTTTCACATGAGAAGATTCACTCTTACTTTTCTATACATACAATTTTGTGTAGATCTTATCCCTTGATTTTTTTCTCTCCTCTCTCTTTTTAATTGTATGTGTAAAAAAATTATGTTAAATCATCTAACATAACAATCATAAAACTTTTTTTTTAAACAAAAACTATTAGCAACTCATCACTATATTAAAAGATTCTGAGCTTGGTTCAGCGTAGTGTGTGGCGCTAAAATCCATAACTTATGACAGCAGAATCTGATGGTCGGTCCATTTAAGACAAACAGTTCAAATTCAATTATTATTAATGATAAAAAAACCCACAGCTTAGCAGAGAAAATAATTTTCAATCTTCTATATTCAGATTTATTGTTTTCGAAATTTGAATAAAAGTGAAAGCAAACCAAACACAGCCTTAATAAGAGGAAAAGACACGCACGCCAAAGCGCTCCTTTGAGCAAATGATGACGCGTTAGACAATAACGTGACCCTGGCCCCACCTCCTTTCATCATGATTCAACCTCCTTTCATAATGATTCAACCTCTTTCCTATTTATAGGCAAAATTCAGGGTTATATTAATAAATTTTTTTATAAATTAATAAATTATATTATATCTTATCAATAAAATTTTATTTAAGAATATATACTAGTAAAATATAATATAATTTATAAATAAAAAATTTAAAAATATAATATTTTCAAAATGAAATAATAATTATTTTAGAAGAAAAGTGTATTTTTTAAGTAATATAAATTCAAGTTCTTTTAAAAGAGGGATAAAAATAAATAGATGTTTTTTATTTTTTTAATAAGACTCATATCTTTTTATATCTATTTCTCTCATAAAACAATTTAAATTTATCTCTTTTAAAAGAACATATATTTTTTTCTTTATTTTATAATGTTGTTAACGAGTGTCTAAATCATGTGTTTGTCATTTTTGGAAGAAAAAGAAAGAAAGGAAGGATGAATGGAATGGTATGCGTCATTCATTTGTTTGTAATGATTTAAAAAAGTGGGAGGAAAGGAGTTGGAATGATACCAATAGATTCGCATTTCCTTCTTTTGGAAATGAAAGTTTAGGAAGGAAATCGAAAGAAAAAATACATAAATATTTGTGAATCACAACAAAATTTATATGAGTTTTGAAGGATATAAAGTATATTGACAATGAAACACATGTGCTTTTATTCGTTTTTACAAAGTTAAAAAAATGAAGAGAAGCATCTTTTTTTTTTGGTATCCTAGAGAAGCATCTTTTTATTGGTTGATATAGAATAATAATTTCCTTACTTTCTTTTCTATATATCTATCCTTTCATATTTTTCCCCCTCTATGCGATACTAGATAAACTCTGCGGACCCTGATAAAGAAATATTTAATACCTCGTATCAAATACATCCAATTACTTAAAAAATAAATATTAAATGATTTTCACATTTATAATGTAATAAATATTTTACTTTTAACGTAAACAATAATTTTGTTTCTCTATTTAAATTAAACATTAATTTTCAATGGTCATTTATGTTAATTTTTTATTTTGTTATTTATAAAGTAATTACATATTCAATTATTTTCTTAACATAATAAATCTTTCCTTTTTTATTTATTATTTTCTTTAATTATCTTAATAAATGATATAATCACGCTTGTCAGCACATCTTTAATAATAATGATTTAAAATTGTATTTGAAAAGAAAAAAGAAGCGCAACGAATGATGAGAAGCTCGACACGTCTGAGTTAGAGCGCAAAGCAAGGTGTCGTTTCGGCTCAATCGACTGTGTCTGAAACGAGATCATCTTATGTATATATGTAAGTACATCCCTCGTTAAACAAGTGACACTTGGATAAAAAAAATATTTTTCTCTTCTTTTTTTATAAGATGACAGTTATTTTTTATTTTTTATTGGATAGATGTATTAAATAAATAATACAACAGTAGTATCATAAATATATATGTCTGAAACGTCGTTTTTATATTTGGCAAGGTGTCGTTTCGGTTCAGTCCAATTGCATATAGCCATGTGGCGATATATAAAAAGCGTTGGCGACACGCTAAGAAATGAGCACGCGGTTTCACTGTTATCTATCTGTTTTTGTTATTCTACGCGACACATGTATCTGTCGTCGCCCTCGTTTTCTCTGTCCCCTTCGCCCCCTTCTCTCTCTCTCTCTCTCTCTCTCCATGAAAACCCTCACATAGAGAGATTCAAGATTTGATTTTGAGGCTTACCCATTTCACACACTACCAGGAAAACAATATCCCATGACCTCTTTTTATCTTTGATTTTTTTTGGGGGGGATTTTTTTCAAATAAAAATCTCAACTTCTGTTTTCTGGGTTTGTAAGAGGATTTGTTTGGAAAATTGAATTCTGGGTGTGGATCAAATTTGTTTTTTTTATTTGGATGAAAGTGTCATTTTTTGTGGGATCTAGATGATGATGTCTTCTGGGACATCTTCGTATTGGTGCTACAGGTGCAGTCGTTCTGTGAGGGCATGGAGACAGGACACGGTGGTTTGTCCTGATTGTGATGATGGATTTCTTGAGGAGATAGAAAATCCGACACGCTCTGTCCACGTGGATGGCCGGAGGCGGCGGTTTCCGGCGGCGGCAATGTACATGATCGGCCAACGCACCGGTTTCGATCAGAATTCACGCCCTGCTCTCAGGCGAACCCGCCGCAACGGCGGTGACCGGTCTCCTTTCAATCCGGTTATCGTCCTCCGCGGCGGTGGATCGTCGGAAGGGGCGGAGGGAGGCGGCGGCGGAGGAGGTGGAGGAGAGAGTCGCGGGTTTGAGCTTTTCTATGATGATGGTGCTGGTTCTGGTCTTAGGCCTTTGCCTCTGAGCATGTCGGAGTTTCTTCTGGGATCTGGGTTTGATAGACTCTTGGAACAACTTTCTCATGTTGAGATCAATGGTATTGGGAGGTACGAGAACCCTGCTGCATCAAAAGCTGCCATTGATTCTCTTCCCACTATTGAGATTGATGAGGGTCATTTGACTATGGAATCACATTGTGCAGTTTGCAAGGAGCCTTTTGAATTGGGCATTGCAGTGAGGGAAATGCCTTGTAAGCACATATATCATCCTGAGTGTATATTACCATGGCTTGCACTTCATAATTCTTGCCCTGTTTGTCGTCATGAGTTGCCTATTGATGCCCCAAATCCAAATCCAAATCCAAATCAAAATCCACTGAATGAAGAAGAGAATGTGGGGTTGACTATTTGGAGGTTACCTGGTGGTGGTTTTGCGGTGGGGAGGTTTTCCGGTGGGAGAAGAGGTGCTGAGAGAGATCTACCTGTTGTTTACACTGAAATGGATGGTGGGTTTAACAATGGTAGTGAGCCTAGGAGGATTTCTTGGTCTTCTAGAGGGAATAGACGGAGAGAGAGTGGTGGGTTGAACAGGTTTTTTCGCAATTTGTTTGGTTGCTTCAGAGGTGGAGTTGGAACTCAACGCTCTACTTCTACTAGAGAGTCTCGATCTTTAAGGGCAAGTTCATCTCGTTCTAGTATGGATCCCTCATCACGTTCCCGTAGGTCTTGGTCTATGGATGTAAACAGTGGTGGAATGTGATCATTATTGTAACTTGGGGGAGGGTAAAAATCTGAACTTTTGTTTAATGGGTTCCCGTTCCCCATTTGATGTCAATATACATATAATGAATGGGATTGAGTCGAGGATGCAATGCAATCAATCTTATGGGGTCTTGCGATTCTCATATTCTCAGCTATGTGTGGCGAATTGTGTTGGAGCCTAATGCTGTGTCATGTTGGATGGGGAATTGTTAGTATTAAACTCATCATCTATATTAGCAATAGCTGATAGGGACAAGAAAGAATTAGCATGGAAGAAATAATGAATAGTTTGGCTTTATATATTTTGAGCATGGGCAATTTACTAATTATCATGAGCATAGAACAGCAACTGAGTGAATGAACCACTTGACCCTTCCCACCAATGAGCCTTTCCATTAACTTTTAACTTTGATCTCTTTTACCTTCTTTTACAAGTTACCAAAACTAATATGCAATTTTGAATTTTCCCCCACTTTGCTTGGTCGCTCACATGCTTTGAAGTTACAATTTTAGAACCCAAAGGTTGTACAGGCCACGGTTTTCTTCATCTTAGAAGAAGCTCATTTTGTTTCTTTCTTAAACTGTTCGTAAAAGGCATTGCAACGTGTAAACCTGTCATGGTTGTAGGCAACTATAAAAAAACAAAAACAAATGGCCAATCGAGGTGCATGGATATAAATATATAATGTCATTCTGTGAGATATGGTACTTTTTTTTGGCAAAAAAAAAAAAAAAAAAAAAAAGGGCTTGTTTGAGTTGCTGAGTTGTACACGTTTGGGTAGCACTATTATTGGCGAAGATGATTCAATTCTAGTGGGGATGGACCAAACAACTGGCGTGTAAGTGGGAACCCAAAAAGTGTACACAAACTACAAAGAAGTTGAGATTTTTTAGTGTGAGAAGAAAATAATTGCACGTGCAATGCTCGGTGGGTACTTAATTTTGCTCTGCACGCCATTCAAGTGCCAATAATTTCTACACATACTTTTATTATATTCAAGGAAATTTGGAAATTAGGAATGGATCGTATGCGATGTGACCACTAAGGTAATGCTATTGCATTTGCTTATATTTTGTTGGGGTTAAAGCCTTAAACAAGGAAATCCTTGTTCCTATTGATTTGGATACAGATTATTGAAGGATCCAAATCTTTGTATATATGCATGCTCAATTCCTCCCCAATATTTAAGCCAATTTATTAGAATCAAAATTATACAACAGTGACACTCATTGTGGGCTGTGGGTAGGGGTGGCAAAACAAGTTCTGATCCGTGAGTTGACTCGTGACACAATCCGTCAAAGTGCATGTTGTGTCAACCTGCTGGTCACTATGAGTCGTGTACGGATTTAAAAAATTGAGACGTTTTTATTTGCGTCGGGTTACGGGTTAACCCGCAGATTCGTATGTCAACCCGTATAAGGGTTATTTTGATAATTTTCTGTGAGAGGTATAAAAACTTTCTTTAGGTTAGGATTATTATTACTTATCTATTTTATTTTTTATTTTTTAAATTTATTTTAAAAAAATTCAATTTTTTTGGTTTTTTTTTTAATTTCAAATTTTGTGTATTGTGTCGTGTCGACCCGTGACCCACAGCGGGTCGTGTCGGGGTTCGTGTTTTTTGACCTGTTATCTGCAGTAAGCCCAATACGACGTTATTTTGGGATGGAAATCATTGTGTTTTTATAATTTTAATTTATTTCAGGGTTATAATAATCTTTATATTTATAATTTTTTAAGATTTCAATACCAAAACGACGTCGTTTTGGAAATAAATGCAGATAACTTATCTGCAGTAACTGCAGAAATATTTTTCCCTTAATATATATTATAAGTTGGGTTTTGTGATAGTCTTGTTACAGGAACCCCATTCACGTTCGTGCATACACATGCACATTTTTTTATTAAGTTGTTTTTTTAAAATATATATATATATATATATATATATATATATATATATATATATATATTTGTGGATCCCACAAATATTGTGTCTGTGACATGATGCAACAAATATCCTGTTACGTGATAGTTCTATTACCCTTATAAGTTTTAGTAAAAGTTTACAATATGCTCATGACCTATTGCCAAGAACTAAACTCAAGACATTTTAGTCAACATTGTTCGATCTTGTTATTTGTATTTACCTTCATTAACATTCCAAAAATTATATAACTAAATACAATAAATTTAGCTTTAAAAATTGAACAGCAATGGAGACCAAAAAGGAAGAAGAAGAAGAAAGAAAGAAAATAAAAACAGTTATATCCTTACAAGCATACAACCTAGTAAGCAGTTTCTCTGAATTCTACGCTTATAGTTCTAGAGTATTATGTAATGGTACAATTAACAAAATTCGCAAGTTTAAATTTTTTCAAATGTTTAGAATAATTTAAAATTTGACATTTTTGTAGTAGCTTTATACGATTTTTTTACCTTATTCATTCATGATCAAGCAATATAAGGATATCATTGGTTGATTATTTAACGTTTTGATGGAGCATTTAACACCTGTGATAAAGTATCTTTTGTCATTATTAAGAGATTACATTCTTTATGTAACATAATTGCTAGATTAATGGTGGAAGATTATGTTTAGTATTTTTGACATGAGTAGGGATATATTGACAAACTTTTTTTTTATAAACTCACAAACTATAATATGTCTGACCGGTAATACTCTATTCAAGAGTGTATTACCGGTCAGACATAGTATAGTTTATAAGAGTTTGTAGATAAAAAATTTATAAATATAACTGATCTGGATAAATATTATACAAATACAAGGCCCAGAATAAAAGCCTTCACAATGAAGCAAAGTCTTAGCCCAAGAAGGCTGCAAGCTGCAAGACTCCATGACAGCAAGCTCCACCATAATAAATACATGTTGCTGTCTTATCTCTTCCACCAAGGCTATCTCAGCAAACACCTTAATATTAAAAGCTCATGACAGCCATTAAGCTGCACAATATTAATGGTTTTATCCCATCAAGCACCACAATATTAAAGCTTATCTTAGCAAAGCTCCTCAACATTAAAGGCAGCATGGCAGCAAGTAACTTCAAGATACTTCATCTCCAAGTACACTTCAGCATTAAGACATCTCCAAGCTGCTCATAACTCCACTATAAATACATGTATCAACACTAAGGTACATCATCTTCTCCTACATAATTAAACCTGCTTGAACCATATCTGACTTGAGCGTCGGAGTGTCTTGCATCTACACCCCCATCTCGTTCCATTGAAGACCCATTGGTTAAAGCTGCTCCAAACTCCAAACTGCAAGATGCTATGACCCAAAGAGGTTCCAGACCTATGTGTAGAAGAAGATCACATGATCAGCCAAGTTGTAAAAATCTGGTCTGATGAATAACCTTCCCCTTTTATATAGCATAATTAACGCTAAAAGATTAATACTGTGTTAGAGAAAGGAAACATAATCCAGTTGCGGCGAGAAAGATTGAGAAGGTATACAAGGCCTATTCGAATTTTGATACAAATTCATGATTTATATTTTAATTCTCAAATCTCTAATAAGGTGAATTTTGATCTCTTCAGGGCGTGTCCCAGTTTTGGATAGACCATACAAATTATGCACTTGTGATCTTATTCATATTTTATGTTAGATTGTTTTGATGGTGTTATTGGCATAATAAATAACCTAATGATTTTTTCATAAATAGGAATAAATATTGTGATATTAATTTTTAATATCTAATCTACTTAAAAAAATTAATATATAAGATAAATTTATTCCTAAAAAATGATTGGTTGGGAAGTCACTCAGCTTAGTCAGCTCCAACGCAATCAGTTTTTTCAATGAATCATTAAAAACATCTAAAAGAAATTTTTTTATCTGTTCCTAACATCACGAAGACTACAATGAAATGTTTTTAAAATGATTAGTTTGCCCTTACAAAAGTGGAGGAAATTAAGATGTCCACATATTTTACATTATCTTAACAGGGATTTGAAGACACAAACTTTGATTTGTAGCCAAGATACAGACGGCAGAACTTGAAGATAAAGTTCATGTTTTGGAAAGCTAGCAATGGATAACTATAAAGGGATCTTGAAGTCTCGCTATGGAATTGGATCAATTTTTTCATCAAAATAATATCTGGTAGTTAATGTCAACTTGGGCAATGAAATTAAGAACTCAAGAAACCCAGAAATTGGAACTAGATGAAGGTATTGTAATTTGTAAACTTCTAAAATGCTAGAGAAAGGGTGTCAGTTTAAATTAATTGGGTGAAAATTGGGATAAATTTGCTATTGAAATAAGGTATCTGCATCTTGATTTAGTTTTATCGAGGTTGCTGTGTTCTTCATGTCTTAATCCTTTTGTGCAAATATTTATTCATTTCTCAAAGATTTACGTTGACCAAATAAATATTAGAAATGTTACGAATTTATAAAAATAAAAAAGGTTAAAATATGTGATTTTTATATATAACTATATAAGAGAAAAATATTTCTCAAGTTGCTTAAGATATATTTATCTCTGGTTAGTCCAAAATTACGTCGTTTTATTTATTTATTTTCTTATATTAATTGATTTACCTTTAATGTTTATGATTCTCATTTTCTTTCTCTTTCTTTATTATCATTGTTTCATCTTTGTACGGTAATTATTTAGTGGCCGGAGATAAAGTTATCTCAAGTAAATTGAGAAACGATAAGCCCTCTATAAAATACTTTTAAAAAAAATTGATTCTTATATAAAAAAGTGTTTAATTTAGTTCTTACACCTGAAATTATTTTTACCTTCTTCGACCTTGTCATTTGTTGCCATTATAACACCATAAGAACTACATGTAGCTACTATGAAGTATAATAATTAAATTGAAAATTACTGTAACATATAGAAACCAAAAATATTGTATTTATAATCTCTTAGGTGACATCCATTTTGGTCTCTATGTTTGAATGTATTCTAATTTCAACAGAAGATGTTATAACGGTAGGGGGGGAAATTGAAATGATTATATATTTTGAGATTAAATCATTTTTTATTACAGAGAATGAATTTGGTATATATGAACCAAAAATATATTTTAATCTATAAATAATTTCACAAATTTCTGTTAGGTTTGTCAAAATATGATAATTGTTGGGTAAAATATTTTAAATACCCTATATTTTTTAATAAATTAACATTCAAGGTCAAATTCTTCCATAATCGATGAGCATGTCAAATGAACCCAGGCTTGCGGCCCCCAGGCCCAGCTACGCTGTTATGAAGGCTATTGGATATTTAATTTGGCCTGATTTAATATCA